CTCCCAAAGTGCTGGGATTACAGGCTTGAGCCACCGCGCCCGGCCCTGTTGTTGTTGTTTTAACTGTTTTTATATGTCTTCTTCTGTACACTGATTTAATTTTTCAAATTTATTTAAAAATTTTTTCTATATTATGTAAATGGGTTAAATAGTTATAGGAATAGTAATATATTATGTGTGTGCTTAAAGAATGATCTTTTGGGCCAGGCGCGGTGGCTCAAGCCTGTAATCCCAGCACTTTGGGAGGCCGAGGCAGGTGGATCACGAGGTCAAGAGATCGAGACCATCCTGGTCAACACGGTGAAACCCTGTCTCTACTAAAAATACAAAAAATTAGCTGGGCATGGTGGCACATGCCTGTAATCCCAGCTACTCAGGAGGCTGAGGCAGGAGAATTGCCTGAACCCAGGAGGCGGAGGTTGCGGTGAGCCGAGATCGCGCCATTGCACTCCAGCCTGGGTAACAAGAGCGAAACTCCGTCTCAAAAAAAAAAAAAAGAATGATCTTTTATGCAGTTCTATGTCATTCTTGAACTTGATTCAAGTTTTCTCAGGCAACCCTCTGTCATTGTACTTTCCATGCTATGCTGTGGTTTGATCATATTCTCTCCAATATTCATACAGAAAATTTCTGATGCAGTAGGATTACGAAGTATGGCCACTGGAAGGTGATTAAGTCACTGGGGCTGTGCCCTAGTTAATGGAATTAGGAACCTTCCTGATTATAAGAGCAGTCCAAGTTGAATGGAGTGCACTCTTAGTTTTTTGCCTTCCATGATGTGAGGACACAGCATTCATCCTCACTCCTGGAAGACTTAGCAACAAGACCCTGTCTTGAAACAAGAAAATGAGGCCCTTAGCAGACAACCAACTTACTGGCACCTTTGTCTTGTACATCCTGATTTGTATAACTGTGAGAAAGAAATTTGTTCTTTATAATTACCTAAAGTATTTTGTTACAGCAGCACAAACTAATAGAAATTGGTATCAGAAGTAGTGTGTTGTTATAATTATTAAGTAAAAATATAGTAGACGTGGCTTTGGAAATTGGTAGTGGGTACATATTGATTGGCACACTTTTGAAGTGAATTCTGGAAAAAGCCTGTTTTGCCATTAGCAGAGCATTAAAGGCAAGTCTGGTGAGGGCTCAGAGGAGGAGAGCTTTACTGAATACCTGTTTTGTAGACAATCTAAGTGGTTGCAATCAGAGTGTTTTTAGAAATATGGACAATACAGGCAAGTCTGAAGAGGTGTCATGAAAATGAGGAATGTCTTACTGGAAACTAGGAAAGCCCGTCTTGGTAACAAAGTAGCAGAGAATTTTTCTGGATTATGTCCATGTCTTAGTACTTTGTGGAAGGAAGAATTTAAGAGTGATGAACCAAGATATTTGGCAAAAAAAACCCTCAAAGCAAATTGTTCAGGTTGCTGCATGGCTTCTTAATTGTTTACAGTAAAATGGGAGAAGAGAGAAATTAGTTGAAAACAATTTGTAATCAAAGCCCAATGTAAAAGATTTGGAAAATTCTCAGCCTGGCCATATGAAGAATTAAAAGTGTATTTAGGAGAGGGAGAGCTGCAGGCACTGTGAGAACTTCTATGTGACGTGATCCCAACAAAACCATTGGGGCAGGGATCCCCAGGATGTTGAGACCCAACCCCTACTCCAGGATGTCCAGAAGGTGGGACATGGAGTCAAAGAAGATTATTGTCAAGCCTTAGTATTTAATGTGTGTCCCCTGTTGGGTTTCAGACTTACATGGGAACAGCTACCCCTTGTTTCCTGTTTCTCCCTTTTGAAATTAAAGTATCTAACCTGTGTCTGCCCCACCATTGTATTTTGGAAGCATATAACTTGTTTGATTTCATAGGTTCACAGCTGGAGAGCAGTTTGCCTCTGGATGAAACGCACATTTGAGTCTTACCCATATCTTATTTAGATTATAGTTAGATACAACTCTAGACCATAGGCTTTTGAATTGGTTGTAGAAATAGTTATGGCTTTGGGAGCCATCGGGAGGGAATGTATTTTGCTTGTGAGAAGTACATCAATTTTGGGGCCAGGGTGGAATGCTATGGTCTGAGTTATTTTTTATCTTCTTCACAATTTCATGTTGAAACTTAATCCCCAATGCCCAATCTATAAATATTATGAGGTATGGCCTTTAGGAGGAGATTGGGTCACAAGGGGTCTGCCCTTATCAGTGGGTATGGTATTCTTATCAATGAGGTATCAAAAGGCCTTTCCTACAGAGTTCACTGCTTTTTGCCCCTTCTGTCCCTTCTGCCATGTGGGGACACAGCGTTTGTTCCCTGTGCAGCAACAAGACCATCTTGGAAGCAGGGATCATCTGTCAGCAGACATCAGTCCTGCTGGCACCTTGATCTTAGATTTCCCAGACAGCAGAATCATGAGAAATACATTGCTATTGTTCATAAATTACTGTCTGTCTTATTTGGTTATAGCAGCACAGAGGGACTAGGACATACTGTAACTATAATTTAACTGTTTGTTTCTTTTTTTTTCTTTTCTTTTTTTAAAGATGGGGTTTCACCGTGATGGCTAGGCTGGTCTTGAACTCCTGACCTCAGGTGATCCACCCACCGCAGCCTCCCAAAGTGCTAGGGTTACAGGTGTGAGCCACCACGCCCGGCTGTTTGTTTCTTTTGATTTAAGACTTATTCTCAGACATTTGGGTTCAGATGCTTGCTCTGCCATTTTCAGGTTGTTGACCTAGGTGACTTTTCAGTGTCTGTGCCAGAGTTGTCTTCTAGTAACATGGAAACAAATCTCTCTCTTGTAGGCTATTATGTTGTTATTTGAATTAGAACATGTAAAGCATTTGGAGAAGTGCCCAGCACATGCGGAGTGTTCCAAAACTTCAGTCATTGCTGTTGCTCTGGTCATCACAGTTTTTAGTTTCTGACCTTTCTTTAAAGTCGCTGCAGACATTGTCATCTCAAAGATACCACTCGCATACTAGCTTCTGGACACTCAATTGATACACTGAACATAATATCTAACACTTATACAGATAGCCACATGTTCATTTCTTTGTATATTTCTTGTATTGTCCAAAATTTCTTGTATTGTCACAAAAATGAGAAGCATACGCTGATTTAGAGGATATAATAATCTCCTATTGAATTTTATAACAAAATAAAATTAGGGATGCACAACTTTCTAACAGTTGCCTTGCATAGATACGTCAAAACACACACTTCAATCAAATTGATGTGACAGTTCTCTGTTCTCATTTTACGTAAAAATAAGAGCTCTCCCATTGCTGCTTGTTGCAATGTGTTTTACATTTCAGGGACCTTTGACATTCAGGGATGTGACCATAGAATTCTCTCACGATGAGTGGAAATGCCTGGACCCTGCACAGAAAGCTTTGTACAAGGATGTGATGTTGGAGAACTACAGGAACCTGGTCTTCCTGGGTGAGGATAAGTTTTCTGTAGGAGTTCAGATCTGCCCTTGTGCTTTTTTGTATTTTCTCTGTAGTATTTCTTGGGAGCCCCTCCATTATTTAACTGAGACCAAAGCCTTGTTGATTAAAAAATACAAAGCTTCATAATGCTGCATCTGGCCTTTCACTGTCCCCTTTCTATAGATATTCTGCTGCCTTTTTTTTTTTTTGAGACAGAGTCTCTGTTGCCCAGGCTGGAGTACAGTGGTGCCATCCCAGCTCACTGCAACCTCTGCCTCCCGGGTTCACGTTATTCTCGTGCCTCAGCCTCCCAAAATGCCACCATTACAGGTGCATGCCACCATGCCTAGCTAATTTTTGTATTTTTAGTAGAGATGGGTTTCACCATGTTGGCCAAGCTGGTCTCAAATTAGTGACCCCAGGTGATCTGCCCGCCTCAGCCTCCCAAAATGCTGGGATTACAGGCATGAGCCACCATGCCTGGCCTATGTTAAGATTTTTTTAAACAACTTAGTGCTGTTTGCTAGCTTAGAATATTGTGCATTTTATTGTAAAGACTCACAAATTTATTTGTTTAATAAGGTATATCACCATTGCTTCATGTTTATAATGAGATGGCAGCATATTGGCTTTACCTTAGTGTGGCCAGGTATAGCAGATACCATAGATAGGGTGTTTCTTTTTTTTTTTTTTTTTAAGATGGGGTTTCACCATGATGGCCAGGCTGGCTTTGAACTCCTGGCCTCAGGTGATCCACCCACCTCAGCCTCCCAAAGTGCTAGGATTACAGGCGCGAGCCACCACGCCCGGCCAATAGGGTGGTTTAAACAACAGAAATTTGCTTTTCACAGATCCGGGTGATGCGCAGTCCAGATGTCAACACCAGGTTTTTGGTGTAGACCCTTTTCCTGGTGTACCATGGCTAACTCTTTCTGTGTCCTGACATGGCAGAAGGATTGCCATGCAAAAAGCAAAAGCTTTTTCACATCTCCTCTAATTCCATTCCTGAAATTCTACCCACCATGCTGACCTAATTGCCTCCCAAAGTTCATATCTCTGAGTAATATTACACTGAGGATTAGGTCCCCAACATATGAGCTTTGGCAGACATAAGTCAATATAGCTGACCTGCAATGCTTGTTAGTGTTGCAAATGTCTGTTTTTTATGGAAATAGATAGTTTTGTTTTGTTTTTTCCAAGATGGAGTCTTGCTCTGTTGCCCAGGCTGGAGTGCCCATAGCCCGATCTTGACTCACTGCAACCTCTGCCTCTGGATTCAAGCAATTCTCCTGGCTCAGCCTCCTGAGTAGCTGGGATTACACGTGCACACCACCATGCCCAGCTAATTCTTGTATTTTTAGTGGAGATGGGGTTTCACCATGTTGACCAGGCTTGTCTTGAACTCCTGACCTTGTTATCTACCCACCTTGGACTCCCAAAATATTGGGATTACAGGCATGAGCCACCATGCCTGGCCAGAAATAGATAGTTTAACATGTTTAATATGTATGTGATAAGTATGCAGAAAAATAACTTACTTTTATAACTTCAAAATTTTTTTCTCATTTTCCCAGTATAATTTTTCATTTATAATTCTAGCTTGCCATTTACATAGATCATTAATTAGTTGAACTTGTTGATATTTAGCTGTAGTTTGGCATTTATTTGTGCACAATAAATATGAAGTAAATATATATATATAACTTTTCTATTATGAGAGAGCCATATGTTTGCTGCTAGTTGGTGTATGATTTAGGGTCATGTTGGAAAAATACTTGCTTTAGTGCTAATATATGTTTGCACAACATTAGTCTTTTGGTCATTGAATGTTTGAAACTAGGCTTCCTTAAAATTGATTTGAATTACATGTGATTACTCTTTCTTTACTAAATAATTCTACTCCTTTTTTATTTGTAAAAATAGAAGATCGCTGTGGTAAAGTTTGGTAATTGTCTAGTATAAATGTTACTTTTAGCACAGTATATTTTCAATATAAAATATTTACAAATACTAGTTATTTAAAAAAACAAAAAACAAATGATACTAATTATTTTTAAAACTCATGTTTGGCTTGGCCTGGTGGCTCACGTGTGTAATCTCAGAACTCTGGGAGGCCGAGGCAGGGGATCACAAGGTCAGGAGTTCGAGACCAGCCTGGCCAATATGGTGAAAGCCCATCTCTACTAAAAATATAAAAAAATTAGCCATGCATGGTGGCATGTGCCTGTAGTCCCAACCACTCAGGAGGCTGATGCAGAAGAATCACTTGAACCCAGAAGGCAGAGGTTGCAGTGAGCTGAGATCATGCTACCGCACTCCAGTCTAGGCAACAAAGTGAGACTTTTTCTCAAAAATCAATCAAACAAACAACAACAACAAAAACCCATGTTCATTATATTTTGTAGGTATAATTCCTAAATGTACGACCAAGGAATTACCACCAATAGGGAACAATAATACAGGAGAAAAATTCCGAACAATGACGCTGGAAAGACATGAATGCTATGACATTGAAGATATTTACTTAAGGGAAATCCAGAAAAATCTACTGGACCTTGAATTTCAATGGAAACATGGTGAAATAAATTGTAAAGAAGTGCCAATGACCTATAAAAATAATCTTACTGGTAAAAGAGGTCATCATAGTCCAGAGAATGTAGAAAACAAATGTATTGAAAATCAGCTTACATTAAGCTTTCAGTCACATCTGACAGAACTGCAGAAATTTCAAACTGAAGGGAAAGTTTATGAATGTAACCAAACTGAGAGAACAGTTAATAATGGTTCCTTAGTGTCACCACTTCAAATAATTCTTCCTCGTGTCCAAACCAACATTTCTAGGAAATATAGGAATGAGTTTTTGCAACTGTCATTACCTATCCAACTTGAGAAAACACACATTAGGGAAAAGCCTTATATATGTAATGAGTGTGGCAAAACGTTTAGAGTGTCTTCAAGTCTTATTAACCATCAGATGATACATACTACAGAGAAACCTTACAAATGTGATGAATGTGGCAAAGCCTTTCATCAGGGCTCACTACTAACTATACATCAGATAGCCCATACAAGGCGGAAACCATATCAATGTGATGTATGTGGCAAGATCTTCAGACAAAATTCAGATCTTGTAAATCACTGGAGAAGTCACACTGGAGAGAAACCATACAAATGTAATGAATGTGGCAAGTCCTTCAGCCAAAGTTACAACCTTACAATACATCAGAGAATTCACACTGGAGAGAAACCTTACAAATGTAATGAATGTGGGAAAACCTTCAAACAAGGCTCTTGCCTCACTACACATCAGATAATCCATACAGGAGAGAAACCATATCAGTGTGATATATGTGGCAAGGTCTTCAGGCAAAATTCAAATCTTGTAAATCACCAGAGAATCCACACTGGAGAGAAACCATACAAATGCAATGTATGTGGAAAGTCTTTTAGTCAAAGTTCCAACCTGGCAACTCATCAGACAGTTCATACTGGAAACAAACCTTACAAATGTAATGAATGTGGCAAAACCTTTAAACGGAGCTCAAGCCTCACTACACATCAGATAATCCATACAGGAGAGAAACCATATGCATGTGATATATGTGACAAGGTCTTCAGTCAACGTTCACAACTTGCAAGGCACCAGAGAAGTCATACTGGAGAGAAACCTTACAAATGCAATGAATGTGGCAAGGTCTTCAGTCAGCATTCACATCTTGCGGGGCATCGGAGAATTCATACTGGAGAGAAGCCTTACAAATGTGATAAATGTGGCAAAGCCTTTAAACAGGGTTCATTACTCACTAGACATAAGATAATTCATACCAAAGAGAAACGTTACCAATGCAATGAATGTGGAAAGGTCTTTAGTGAAAATTCATGCCTTGTAAGGCATTTAAGAATTCACACTGGGGAGCAACCTTACAAATGTAATGCGTGTGGCAAGGTCTTCAATTACAGTGGAAACCTTTCAATTCATAAGAGAATACATACAGGAGAGAAACCTTTCCAATGTAATGAATGTGGCATGGTCTTCAGGAATTACTCATGCCTAGCACGTCATCTAAGAATTCACACTGGGCAGAAACCTTACAAATGTAATGTGTGTGGCAAGGTCTTCAATGACAGTGGAAACCTTTCAAATCATAAGAGAATTCATACTGGAGAGAAGCCCTTTCAATGTAATGAATGTGGCAAGGTCTTTAGTTACTACTCATGCCTAGCACGTCATCGGAAAATTCATACTGGAGAGAAACCTTACAAATGTAATGATTGTGGCAAAGTGTATACTCAGCGTTCAAGCCTCACTAAACATCTGATAATTCATACTGGAGAGAAATCTTACAATTGTAATGAGTTTGATGGGGCATTTATCCAAAGTTCAAAACTTGCAAAATATCACAGAAATCCTGCTGGAGAGAAACCACACAAATGTAGCCATTGTGGTAGAACTTTTAGTCATATAACAGGCCTGACATACCATCAGAGAAGACATACTGGAGAGATGCCATACAAATGTGCTGAATGTGGCCAGGTCTTTAATTCCACTTCAAACCTTGCAAGGCATCGGAGAATTCATACGGGGGAGAAACCTTACAAATGTAGTGAATGTGGCAAGGTCTTTCGTCATCAGTCAACATTAGTGCGTCATCGGAGTATTCATACCGGAGAGAAACCTTACACATGTAAAGAGTGTGGCAAAGCTTTTAGAGTGCGCTCAATTCTGGTTAATCATCAGAAAATGCATACTGGAGAGAAACCTTATAAATGTAATGAATGTGGTAAAGCTTTTATTGAAAGGTCAAAGCTGGTGTACCATCAAAGAAATCACACTGGAGAAAAGCCATACAAATGTATTGAATGTGGCAAGGCCTTTGGGCGGTTTTCTTGCCTCAGCAAACACCAAATAATTCATTCTGGAGAAAAACCTTATAAATGTAATGAGTGTGGCAAATCTTTTATTAGTCGCTCAGGCCTCACTAAGCATCAGACAAAACATATTGGAGAGAACCTTACAACTAAACTGAATGCGGCAAGGCCTTTAGATGCTCTCCTAACTTCTGGGTTCAAATAGTTCATACTTACTGATATAGCTTGTATAACTTTCACTTCTTTCTGAAATCTTGTGGAATTTCAATACCCCGAATTGGAGGTGGGGCCTGGTGGGAGATGACTGGATAACGGGTGGATTTCTCAAGAATGGTTTAGCATCACCCCCTTGGTGCTCTTCTCAGGATAGTGAGTTCCGGTGAGATATTGTTGTTTAAAAGTGTATGGCAGGCCAGGCACAGTGGATCATCCCTGTAATCTGAGCATTTGGGGGGGTCTAAGTGGGCAGGTCACTTGTGGCCAGGTGTTCAAGACCAGGCTGGTGAACATGGTAAAACCTTGTCTCTACTAAAACACAAAAATTAGCTGGGCATGGTGATGCATACCTGTAATCCTAGCTACTCAAGAGGCTGAGGCATGAGAATCACTTGAACCCAGGAGACAGAGGTTGCAGTGAGCCAAGATCTGCCACTGCACTCCAGCCTGGATGACAGGAAGACGCTGTCTCAAAAAAAAAAGTGTAGGAACCTTCCTCTTGTTTGCTTCTCTTCTTGCCATGTGACATGTCCACTCCCCCTTAGCCATCCACCATGATTTTAACATTCTTGAGGCTTCCCCAGAAGGTGAGCAGATGTCAGCACCATGTTTCCTGTAAAGCCTGTAGAACTGTGAGTCAATTAAACTTCTTTATAAATTACCCAGCCTCAGGTATATCTTTATAGCAATTCAAATATAGCCTAATACATTTACATATGCAGTAAATGTAGTTAAGTTTTAAGCTAGTGTTCACTGCTCACCTGGCATAAGAATATACACGTTGGAGAGAAATTACAGAAGTGTAATGTGTATGGCATGAATTCCATTCAAAGATCAAAACTTGTGGATCGATAGATAATTTAAAGTGCAGAGATGCTTTACAATTGAAAAGAGTGTGGCAAAACCTTTACTAGAGTTCAATCGCTATTGGACATAAGGGAGTTTATACTGAAAGGAAATCTACATGTATGTGCCAGAGACTTTCTCCAGGCATTGGAACTTACCAGACATCAGAATATACAACTTGGAGAAGAGCCACACAAATGTAATGTGTGTGGTAAGGCTTTTACCTGAACATCATCGAAATGGAAACCTGAGTATTCATACTGAAGAGTTACCTTACAAATGTAACAAATGTAGTAAGACTTTCTAACAAATCATGTTTGCTTTTGGAGTGTGAGAGAATTTATGTCGGAGAAAAATCCTATCAATGTGCTGAACATGTGCCCACCTCAGCCTCCCAAAGTGCTGGGATTACAGGTGTGAGCCACCACACCTGGCCAAAATTGTTTGCATTTTTAGTAAAGATGGGATTTCACGATGTTGGCCAGGCTGGTCTTGAACTCCTGACCTCAGGCGATCTGCCCACCTTGAACTCCCAAAGTGTTGGGATTACAGGCATGAGCCACCCCACCTGGCCAGCATCTGTCATTTCTCTGTACATTTTTTGCCACACAAATCTGAGAATGCCACCTTGAGATATGGATCCTTCAAGTTCTTCAATGGAAGAAATGTAAGTCCATAAATTGGGTTAAATGGTTTCTAGTTGAGTGTACAATGATAAAAAATTATTTTTAAAATGTAGTTTTGGCTGGGCTCTGTGGCTCATGCCTATATTCTTAGCACTTTGGGAGGTTGAGGTGGACAGATTGCCTGAGCCCAGAAGTTTGAGAACAGCCTAGGCAACATGATGAAACCTCATCTCTACTAAAAATACAAAAACTGAAGTGAGAGGATCACTTGAGCCTGGGGAGGTGGAGGCTACAGTGAGCTGTGACAGCACCAGCACACTGCAGCCTGGGCAATACAGTGAGACCCCATCTCAAATAAAAAGTATGCTACAACTGAGAAAGGGAATACAATGTTTATTATGGTAACTTCAAATATGCTTTGTTAAAAGAGCCTTTGAAAAATGCATCTTCCGAGGCAGGTGGATCACGAGGTCAAGAGATCGAGACCATCCTGGTCAACATGGTGAAACCCCGTCTCTACTAAAAATACAAAACATTAGCTGGGCATGGTGGCGCGTGCCTGTAATCCCAGCTACTCAGGAGGCTGAGGCAGGAGAATTGCCTGAACCCAGGAGGCGGAGGTTGCGGTGAGCCGAGATCGCGCCATTGCACTCCAGCCTGGGTAACAAGAGCGAAACTCCGTCTCAAAAAAAAAGAAAAATGCATCTTTTATTAAATTATTTAATATTTGTTGACTGATATATATTTTATAGTACAGTTATAAAAATATAGACAATTTGTTGTAACAGTATTTCAGAAGCATTTTCAACAATTATGTTGTGTAAAGTGTCCTATGTATGCATGAAGAAAGGACATGTATAAAGTTTTTAACATGAAGAAAAATTGAGTCTCAACCTGGGTGTCATGAGTTTCAAGAGTAAACATTTCAGTGTTGAATTAAAGAGTCTGAATTCATTTTTCTTTTTTTCTCGAGACTGTCTGGTTCCATCACCAAAGCAGTAGCACAGTAACGCCATCTTGGCTCACTGAAACCTCCACCTCCGAGGCTCAAGCGATTTCCCACCTCAGCCTTCCAACTAGCTTGCACTACAGGTGCACACCATTACCATGGCTAATTTTTGGATTTTTTTGTAGAGATGGGTTTTGTCATGTTGCCAAGTTTGCTCTCGAACTCCTGGGTTCAAGCAATCTGCCCACCTCAGTGTCTTTCAAAGTGATGGGATTACAGGCGTAAGTCCCTGTACCCTGTCTTATTCCTTTGCTTGCTTAGTAAACTTGCTTTCACTTTACAATGTGAACTCACCCATAATTCTTTCTTGCACAAGATCCAAGAACCCTCCCTTTTGGTTGTAGCTACCTAACAGGTTCTCCTTGCCCGCTGCCTAGACAGAACCAATTCATCAAGATAAAAGAGTTTAATTCACATGGAGCTGGCTATACAGGAACCTGAAATTTTATTATCATGCAAATTAGTCTCCCCGAAAACTCTGGGATCAGGGTTTTTGAGGATAATTTGATGGGTAGGGGTCAGTTGGGAATGCTGATTGGTTGCATAGAAAATGAAATCATAGAGAGTTGAAGCTGTCCTTTTGCAATGAGTCAGTTCCTGGGCAGGGTCATGTAGGGTCCAGCCTTACAGGTCCTTGTGAGCCCTCTCTACAGGAGTGGAGGTGAAATATTGTAGAAATAAAAGACACAAGACACAGAGATAGAGCAAAGAAAGTTTGGGCCCAGGGGTCCACCGCTAACCAAAACACAGAGTCCTGCAGTGGCCGCGAGTGTCCGCACTCTCTTTTATTGAGTACAAAAGCTGGGGGCAGGGTAGGTAGGGCATGTCCTTGGTGATCCAAGACTAGGGGCAGGGTAAAAGAGGGTGTGGTAGTGATAGGGTCAAGTACATCACGTGTCATACAGGTAGGGGCTCAGGAATTTTCCGTAGCCGAGATGAGGTAAGGGGCACAATGCATCAACCTATTTTCCATACTTGTCACAAAGACATTAAGATTTACCTTACTTTTACTGATTAATTCTTACAAGAAAAAAGGAACCAGGTGCAGAAGTGGATCATGAGACTGACGTGACCACGGAAGCACAGCATCACATTGCGACAATGAAGCCCCTGGATGTCTGCAGGCCTGACAGCATCAGGCCTACCGCAAGAGCTTAGTGAAGTGGAGTTTTCTCTTAACTCCTCAGAGGAAAGAGACATCTCAGCTATTTTGGACATCTCCTTCCCTAGCTGGCTAAACAGCGGGCGCTTTCCCAGTGCTGGCGCTGCCGCACAGCCGAGGCACCCTCCAGCAGCCCTTATTCGGGCTTGACAGAGGCTTAAAGTGTCTTGCCTTAGGGTCATTCATATCACAGTGTCGCCCCAGGTTCACACTTTCGACCTGAGAGGCATTAGTGAAAGAATTAAGATCACCTATGAATAACTAATAACTACTGCGTTGTATTTCTAGTTACTTTCTTCTTCATTATTTATATGGATATAGGCTAAGGCTTTTGGCTTCTGCCTCCGCACTTATGGGGCTCCCCTCCTACAAGGTCACAAGACCAGAAGAGCCAGTTTATGGATCTGGGTTGGTGTCAGGTGATCCATCAAGTGTAGGGTCTGCAAAATATCTCAAGCACCGATCTTACGTTTTATAATGGTAATGTTATCCCCAGGAACAATTTACAAACAGTCAGAATCTTGTAGCCTCCAGCTACCTGATTCCTAAACCATAATCTCTCATTTTGTACTTAATTTGTTAGTCTTACAAAGACAATCTAGTCCAAGCAGGAAGGGGGTTTGTTTTGGGAAAGGGCTATTAATGTCTTTGTTTCAAACTATAAACTAAGTTCCTCCCAAACTTAGTTCAGCTTATGCCCAGGAATGAACAAGGCAGCCTGGAGGTTAAAAGCAAGATGGAGGTGATTAGGTCAGAACTCTCTCACTGTAATAATTTTCTAAGTTCTCTGTCGGGCACGGTGGCTCAAGCCTGTAATCCCAGCACTTTGGGAGGCTGAGGTGGGTAGATCACGAGGTCAAGAGATCAAGACCATCCTGGTCAACATGGTGAAACCCCGTCTCTACTAAAAATACAAAACATTAGCTGGGCATGGTGGTGCGTGCCTGTAATCCCAGCTGCTGGGGAGGCTGAGGCAGGAGAATTGCCTGAACCCAGGAGGTGGAGGTTGCAGTGAGCTGAGATCGCGCCATTGCACTCCAGCCTGGGTAACAAGAGTGAAACTCAGTCTCAAAAAAATAATAATAATAAAATAAATAATAATTATTATTATTTTCTAATTTCTAATTGTGCAATGGCAGTCTCAGGTTCTGGATCAGGACCCCTTTCTGGTAACGTGAGGACAGTTAAGAGTGCATCCACACATCCAAAAAGTTACCTCTGAGCGTCAGGGATTTCCTAACCCTATGGGTTCTTCCCTTACATGTCAACCCAAGGATTCACTGGGGACCCTAGAATTGCGGAGGCCAGTCTAGAAATATAAACACAGGAGAGAGAAGAAGAGGTGAAGTGAGTTTTGAAGAAGAGAAAGAAGTTAGGTCCATGCTACCTCAGTTTTTTTTCCAACAAAATTTTCATGCTGGGCAATAGGATCCTGGTTTGTGGGAGGGATTTTATAGGAGGGTGAGAAAAATGCCCTTTTAGGGTAGAGTCTGTAGAGCCCTAATTGGGGAAAAGGAGTCAGCCCGGAAGGACCAAGGGAAAGCAAAGAGATAAAGCAAATAAGCTATAAATCATTCTTCATGGTCTAGGACAGATAAACAAAATGGAGGAAGCAGATAAGCTGTAGATCTCTCGCTCTCTCTTTTTGAGGCGGAGTCTTGCTCTGTCGCCAGTCTGGGGTGCAGCAACGCAATCTCAGTTCACTGCAACGTCTGCC